TAATATACATATTTATATACACACACGAGAGGAGAACGTTGAACCCGTCTCGAATGGATTATTTTCTCTCTCTCTCTCTCTCTCTCTCTCTCTCTCTCTCTCTCTCTCTCTCCCTTTCTTTCTCTTTTTCTCTCTCTTTATCTATCTATCTTTTTCGTTCTATATATTTTTTTTGCATTTTTCTTTTTTTTTTTTTCATTGTCCTTGACATAGTTTTTAGCCTCATTTCTTGCTCGAGAAGTAATATGATTTTAGTGTTATGGGATTAGTTTCTTTTGTTTTTTTTTCTTTTTTTTTTTTATAATTTAATTTAATTCTTTATGACGAAAATTTAATATCCCATTTGTACGCGGTTGCTTTTTTTTTGTAAATTATAGGGTGGGTAATAGTGTGTCAGGATTTTTAATATAAAAAATTATTATATTAGTGTTGTTTATTCGGTTATGAAATATTGTTTTTTTTTTTTTTTTTTTTTATAAATTTGTACAAATAGTAAAACATACAATTGATATTCATTGAGATATGCATATTATATTCTTTTGTTTTATTTAAATAAAAATATTAAATTTTGACTTGTGTCTTAATGTAAACTATTAAATTAGTAATTCATAATACTTTCGTACTCGTATATATAAAATTAAAAAAAAGCTTTTGAATTTTATTTTTTATATCAAAATTAAAATACACTATTTAATCGAGAGACTTATGTAATTATCACTTCTATATACAAAGATAAGAAAAAGAAACATACGTTCAAATGAAAGTTAGTTTCCTGTTTAAAATAAATAAATATAATACATAGATAATTTCTTTCATTCCGTTCCTCTTTTGTCTCTGGATTGTATTTTTATTTAAAAAAGAAAGTAGATGCGTTAACTCGGAAAACAACACACACACAGATCTCTACGTTTCTTGTAATTAACATATATACATACATACATGCATACATACATGCACCAACGTATACACTTTTTGATTTACGACGGTAGTAAATGGCAAAGGGGGAAACGATTTGCCATGTTTTTATCTTTCTCTTTCTACCCCTGTCTCCCTTTCTCTCTCTCTTCTTCTATTCCTTTTTATCTCTTCGTTTCCGGTTATATCTTTTTCTTCTTCTTCTTCATAAAAAATAAAAAACAAATAATATGAAAAGAAACAGAGATATATTAAACTACGAAAAAAGGGAATATTAATTTCTCCTCTTTTTGTTAACTATAAAAATTGTAAAAATTAAAGTATCACGTATTCCCGTTATATATATATATTTTTTTTTTGTCCACATTGGCAAATATTTCAATTTGAAAGCGTCATGCCGGCCGAGAGCTAGCGATCGGCAAATCCATGCGATAGTCGTGTTATTCATGAATTATGGATATATTCGGTAACATGCCTTGCGCGCGTGCGTATCTCCCCCTAGTACACCCCCGTACACCCCTTTTTCTCTCTCTCTTTCTATTTCATGACTTGCAAACACATATATGTATGCATATGTATATATAACTGTTACCAAAGTATACTCCTTTCTATCTTTTTTTTTACAGGATTTCAAAACACCCTTCATATGCATATATATATATATATATATGTATGTATGTATGTGTATATATGTATGTGTATATATGTATTTATATATGTTACTACATATACTCGTATAGAAGAAAGATGGATAGATTTCTTAAATACATTCAATGTGGTATAATAAACCATAAAATTACCCTTTGGTCGCTAATAACATTGCAAGTGGTTGAATAAATGGAAATAAAAGAAAAAAAAATATATATATATATATACATGTACGTGTGTGTATAGTTCTACATTACTAAAGTATACTCTTCCTTTCTATCTATCTCATACAAAGGACTTAAAAATACATTGCGTACATATACATATATATGTATATATGATCAGAATTAAAACAGATAACTCATTTAAAGAAAGATGGATTGATCTCTTCAACAATTTTGAAAATAAATTATCTATATAAATTTAAAGCATATATAGGGGTCAAATATATAATACATTAGTATTAGTGTATGCGTGTATAATTTATATAAAACACATAAGTATTATACTAACATGAAATGATATGCATATATTTATATATAAAAAGAAACACGGATAGGGTAGTAGTAAACATTCGTGCAGTGGAACTTTCAACAGCATTTAGAGTCAGACTAGGTCGGGATTCTCTCTCTCTCTCTCTTGGTCTGTTATCAGTGGTTCGCGCTGACAGAGATAAGAGACCTCCCTCGTTAATTAATGAATTAACGTACTCGGATAATCGGCCCGGAGGTCGCGCGAACTCGTCCTCGTCCTGATCCTCATCTTCGTCCTCATTCTCAATTTTCTCCTACTCTTCCTCATCGATCTTGTGTGTTAGATATTTAATCCAGTTTAGCCGATACTGCTATCACCATCACCATCACCACCCCCCATTTCTCTTTCTCACTCTCTCTGGTATCACCCATTCCTCCGACAAAGGCTAATTGTTTTCGCCCACTAAGAGATCGAACGAACTAATTAATAAATAATTAACGAGACCGGATAAATTTATATGGGAAGAGGGGTAGGGGCACATTTCCACCTGATCAACTAACGGTACGTTCATTTGTTTATTCGTTCATTCCCTATTGAATATTTTTCTCTCCTGTTTAAAACATGTTTACGCATTTTCACTACTCTCCAATATGTGTTTTATATATTTACGCGTATGTTGTGTTCTTGTGTGTGTGGGGGCTTAGTGTATGTACTCACTTCCCCTCCCCTTACACATTATATGTTTCTCTCATTCTTTCTCTTTTCATTTTTCTCTCTCTCACTCTTTTTTTATTTTTTATTTTTGTCTTTATCTCATGTGAAAACAACTTTGTAAAATAGTGGGAATTAAATAGTAGAATAGAAAAGGAAAATCGCAACGATATTCATAGTACTCCTTTGACATTCTCTCTCTCTTTCTCTCTCTCTCTCTCTCTCTCTCTCTCTCTCTTTCTCTTGTATTTCCAAAAAAACGAACGAATGAACGAAGCCGTCGAAAGTAGTATAGGTTCAACCGATGTAAATCATCGGGTATTAAACTTCATCAAGTATTTATTAGCTATTCAGCGGCGTGTAATGTGCCCAACGCCAATAAAAGAGCTGTTTATCGAAGCCCGACCATTCCATTCGTTCATTCGTTCGTTCGATTTCGTTTGCTTTTCTCTTTTATCTCGTATTCGTATAGGTTTCATACGCACACATTATACTTGTATATAGTATATAAAATATATGTGTTGAAATATACAATATATAGAATAATATATATATATATATATATATATATATGTACACATAGGATATGGACGAACGAGTTTTCCTGATCGTTCATACATTCTCACGATCGTACCCAATTCCCGATTACCATAATCGCGTTTACTAGAAAATTATTTTGAACAATTTTGTTGTTTTTTCTTTCTTTTTTTTCTTTTTTTCTTTTCTCTATTTTTTCTTTTATTTTTTTTTTCGTTCTTCCATTCTCGACGCTTAAACTAAACGATTTTTAATTCCCTGAAAAAAGGTAATATTTATTTTTCTGTTTTTTCCCCCTTTTTTTCTTTTTTTTTTTCTTTGGTCAAGTAAAACGTTTAAGGGTTGTTTTAACTATCGTAAATAAATGCGAAGACATGAAATTTGTTGCTTATTCGTATATATAATTGCAATCGGACCAATTCATGATTACCATAATCGCATTTACTTAAGAATAATTAAGAATTATTTTTTTTCTAGTACTTTTAACCGAACTATTATTAATTTTCTAATAAAAGGGAATTATTATTATTTATTAATTATTCGTTTAGAAAATATAGAATGTTTATTGTATTGTTTTATACATATATGCATATATGGATAAGTAAATTTTGTTGTTTTTTTCTTAACCAGTTAAGTGTGGCGATCTGTGCGCAGAGTGCGCTCCGGTGTGTGTCGCGATAATCAAGCGATGACGGATATAGTCGTCAAACACAAAATTTTGCCACATCTCCATGACAGATATAGTCGTCAAATACGCTTAACTGGTTAAAACTATTTTTTCTTTACCTTCTTCTTTTTTTTATCATTTCTTTTTCCTTTAAGGGATGGTAGCTAAAACATTGTAGGAATTGTATTTATAGAATTAAATAATTTTTCTATATAAAAATTTGCACTTTTGTCGCGTAACTAAATGATTTTTAATATGTCGAGAGAAAGAGAGAATATTTTTTTTGGAGAGAAAGTAGAACATTCATTTTATTCGTAGTTGTAAGTAGTGTTTCTAAACGAGTGTTTACAAGAGAGTAATATCCATTACCCACTAATTACTAATGGATGGCGATCAACGTTTTACTAGTCTATTTCTCTCTCTTTCTCTCTCTCTCTCTCTTACTCTCTCATACATACATAAATACACACACACACATATTCATTCTATCTTTTGGTTATATGCTTTCTATCGTTCGATGCAGCTTCTTCCTTTCTCTCTCTCCTCTCTCTCCTCTCTCTTTCTCTCTCTTTCTCTCTCTTTCTCTACATCTCTTTGTGTGTATCGAAGCAACGAGTTCGTTCGACCGTATATAAATTATCTCGCTGGTTTCCAACGCAGTTATACTATATAATGCATTTACGTAATGCAAGTCCGGCCTCGTGTCAATGACGCAAGCCATGATATGCTTCTTCCTCTTTCTTTCTTTTTCCAATGATTTTTTTCTTTCCTTTTCCCTCGTTCAATATTTTCCTTCAAAATCCCCTCAACAATTTTCAATGAATGATTTTCTCAAAAAAAAAAAAAAAAAATAAAGAAAACTAAAGCCTCAAACATGAAAAACGTTAATCCATTTCTTTCTTTGTTTCGTTTGTTTTTTATCAATTTATTTTTATCACATATAATAATCATCATCCCTTATCTGTTAATTACTCAAATATACTCATCGCTAATACAAAAAGAATGAAATACATTTAATTTTAATGTTATTTTGTTTTTCTTATTACAGATGTGATGGAGTCTTGTGAAGACGGCTTCTACTATGAGTTAAGACCTCGTAATTAATTGTAAGTATATAATTTAATATTAATCAAAATCACATTTCATGAATTATCAATGAAACGCACGTGTTCATTATTATTATTATTATTATTATTATTATTATTATTATTATTATTATTATTATTATTATTATTATTATTATGTCTTTATTTAATTACGTCGCAATTCATTTGGGTGTAAAATCAACCCTTAAGAATTATCCTTTCTAATTTATACTCATTTAGACGAATGTTTTACATATATGCAAAAAAAAAAAAATAGAAGATTATATCTACTTGATTGTAATCGTTAAATACATGTACCATCTACATACCCAAGTACGATTTTTTTTTATCGTATTCGATCGGAGACAACGCGTACGAACTTCCTTCTCTCTTTCTCTCTCTCTCTCTCTTTCTCTTTCTCTTTCTCTTTCTTTTTCTCTTTCTATTCTTCATAATCCACGTGCGTGAAAACGTATGTATGTGTGTGTGTGTGTGTGTTTCTTTTGTAGGAATGGTTCTCTTCGCTAGATAGAAGAACCATGTTTCTATTCTACCCTAGTACACATTTGCAATCATACGCAGGTACTGGGGATACATTTACAATCACGCGCCGGGTATACTACTTACTCTCGTGAGAGAAACACTGAAAGAAAAAAAAGAAAAGAGAAAGAGAAAGGTAGATAGAAAGATGGTAGTAGAATAGCATACATTTCTCTCTCTCTCTCTCTCTCTCTCTCTCTCTCTCTCTTCGTTCGTTCGTTCATTCGTTTGTGTGGATCACGCGCGGTTGTGTGTATGTATGCATGAGATGGAAGGTAAAGAGAGTGAGTGAGTAAAAGATAGATAGAAAGAGAAAGAGAACGAGTCAGAGAGAAAGAGAGAGAGAGTCGAGGGATGGTTTTGCTCTGGTGGCTCTGTATTGATTGCTGCTCCTCCTCTACCCCACCCCCTCCCTCCTCCTTCACCTCCTACCTTCCTGCAACCACCTCTCTCTTTTCTCTCTCTCTCTCTTTCTCTCTCTCTCTCTCTATCTGTGTGTCTCTGTTTGTCTCTCTCTTTCTCTCTTATTCACTCACTCACTCACTCACTCGGCTGGGCTCTTCTCGTTTCTCTTATCTTTGGTCTCGCTCTAACACAGGAACGCAAGCAAGCAAGCAAGTCCGCGATGCGATGTCGCTTCGTTCTCTCATTTTCTCTTTCTCTTTCTCTTTCTCTGGGAAAGCATCAAGATCTCGTGTTCCTTCCTCTCCGTTGCCACGTATATCTTTCATTCTCTCGAAAATATCCGCCGTGATGTGAGAGAGAAAGAGAATTACATCGTTCCTCCTATTACAAATCAAACTTATTCCCCCTTTTTTTCTTTCTTTTACCCTAATCTGTTATTTCATTTCCCCCTCATCAATTATTTCGTCGATGAGATTAACGTATTGTCAACGTTTCCATTATTTATTTCTTTCTATCTTGGGTTCTTTTATTTTTTAATGATAAACTGTTTGTAATACGAATATTTATTATTTAATATATAAAATTACACGTTTACTTTCACGTTTATCGATCATTCGTTTCTCGTTGATTATTTCACTTACATTATTCAAAAAAATGATTTTTTATTTTATTATATCTGTTGTAGAAACTTTCAAAAATATGTAACAATTCATTGTTTATAAAAAATTTGTTATTAAACTACAATTTCACAATATTTTATTTCAATTTGATCGGTGTACGAATAAGATTGGTGAAATTTTTACATCCACTGTATGACGTTAGGTCACGTTATTTTTTTTCTTTTTATTTATTACAGGTCAATAATCTTTCGTGGTCAAATTATTTGTTATGATTTATATTATTATAGAGAATAATTGAATATGTATATACATATATTTTTATTTTCTATATTTAATTTATTCAGTAATAATTCGCATATGTGTTGTGTATGCGTCCATGTAGGATTTGTAGATAAGCGAGATGAGAAGAATATAAAATGTGAGCAAAAGTGGAAGTAAAGAGTAAAAAAGAGAAAGAAAGAAATAGGGTGGGTAAAAAAAAAAATGAAAAAAAAAAATACAAACGAAAATGTCTCTACTTTGGTTAAATATTAATCCACGCTCGCAAAACTACGTATATTTGAAGAGTTTTACTATCGACAAAGTCGAGGATGTAAAAACGTCGAGAATATATTTTTGGTTTCTTTTTTTTTCTTCTTCTTCTTTTTGTTTCTTTTTTTTCCTTTTTTTTTGTCGTTGTTTTATATTCGAAATAAAATTGGTGCATCGTTTCTATCGAATTTTATCTTTACTACCTATGTGCTTGTGTATTTAATTCTCTCTCTTTCTCTCTCTTTCTCTCTTTTATTCTTTCACGTTGTATACATATATATATTTCTTTTCATTTGAACGCTGTTAAGAGTCTCCGTAGGAATAATGAAACAGGATTCTCCTTTTTCGAGAAATGTGTGTATCTATTAATGACACGACGTAAAATGAGGTCGATGATTTTATCGAGAAATTTACTTCTGACAGTATGAAGCTTTTTCTTTCGCTCATATTTTTTTTTTACGACACTTTTTACAATCATTACACGTGCATAAAACACGTTTTTCCAATTTTTGATCATTTTACTTAATTCACGCACAACGTTTGTTGATAAATTCGTAATAATTTTCTCTCGAAAAAAAAAAATAACAAATGAATCGATTTATAATTACCCATTTAAAAAAGAAAATAAATATTATTTTCGACAAAATTAATTTATCTTTGTCAATAATCAATCTAACGGATCTTTACATGTTAATAAAAACAAAAACAAAAAAAAAAGAAATATAAAGACAAGGAGAAACTCAAATATACTCTTAACCAAACATAATATATATATATATATCACTTATTAGGTGGTGTAAGTCAATTAAAAAAGAAACGAACAATAATTTCGATCTTTTATATATAATGAATGAAAATCCTATATTTTTTTATAATTAAATTAATAAACTATTTATAAATATAAATTTGCTTTACAAAAAATAGAAAAATCCAATTTCTCCCAAACATTTTACATATACATATCGTATAATAAATCATTAAATAAATAAATAATCAACAAGAATAGAATTATTAGTAGATACGGAATATTAATTGATAATTGATAATAAATCAATGCGTATTACAAACAATAAGAAAAAAGATAGGAAAATGGTAGTTTTGTATGTGATAGTAAGGACACTAACACAACCTACACCTGGCACATCGAACAGCAGCAACGGCACACGAACTTTTTCCAACCAACGATGGAAGGAACGTAATACCGGTCGAGAAATCGATGGTCGACCGCGTCTTCCTTTTGCTCTCGACTTGCCATTCTCCGTTCACTTCTCCCCCCTTCCCCATTCTTCTCCTCTTCCTCCTTCACCACCACCCCCGTAACTCTCCTACCCCTCTTTCCTCTTTCTCTTCCTTTCTATCGTTATCTCTCGGTCTTTCTCGTACACAAGCACCAGCTAACTCCCCCCTCCTTTGGTCCAACTCTTACCCTTCTTCGTTTCCAACAACCCCTAAGAAAGAACCAGAGAGAGTGAGAGAGAGAATTTCTCTCCACCCAGGACGTTTCTCCTGCATCCCTAACCTAACCATCCCCTTCCTCCACACCGTTTTCACCCAGAACCGCCCGTTCATCCACCACCTTTCTAACCTTCCATCCGCCACCCACCCCCCGTTTCTCGCCAATTTACGAGCACCTCCGAGTGTACTACTCGGGTGCCTGAAAACGGGTGTGTAGCATTGCGAACTCGGCCCCGGATATTCAGGGACGAAAAGTGCCGAGGACGCGTAACGCCTTTCTTTTTTTTTCCTTTTCTTTCTTTTTAGTTAGTTTTCGTCCTTTCTTCTTTTTTTTCTCTTTTTTTTTTCCTTTTCTATCCTATGGCAAGAACTAGGCGAGTTTTTCTAGCATTCCAGTTTTTCTTTTTCTTTTTCTTTTTCTTTTTCTTTTTGTTCTTAACCGTTTACGTACTATTTCTTTTTTCTCATTTTTCTTTTTATTCTTCCCTTTCTTTTCCCCCCTTTTTTATCCCCGTCTTCGTCATCATTTTCGTCGCTTAAAGAGTTAGAAATGGAGTAACTTTTTGAAAAAAAAAAATATTTTACGTGATAAACGACCGAGTAAGTTTTTTTTTCTTTTTAATGTTGAATTAGAAAACGTCGATGCTTAATAGTGAGATATAATATTAGAATTTATGAATGATTCTTGTGTTGAATTATTTATATAAAGAAAATATCATGATGAATAATTCAAAACGAGAAAAAAAAATTGGAGAAGCATTTAATTTATTTATTATACTTAAATATTTAGAATACTTTACTTATCGTAAATATATTTAACACTAGATTTACGAACTGAGCCAATTTGACTCATCTCAAATTTTTTTGATACATATATACAAAACTTAAATATTATTTTTTTAAAATACATGTTGTTCTTAAGTTACGTAATGAAATATATTTAAATATTAATTTCTACTCTCTATTCAATCTTCCATTTGAACAATGTTAGTAAATCATTAAAAAATATTGAACAAAACATCCGTAAATGTAGTGTCAAATATTTATATAGAAATGAAAAAATATTGCATTGCAAATAGAATAGCAAAATGAAAAGAAATCAATGTTTAGAAAATTTAGATCAAAAAAATTATCTATTTGATTTACATATATTTTTATATAAAATTAATTTAACCTTTAGAGTGCTATTTATGCATATATGCGTTTGATAAAAATTACCAGATTGGTCTATCGACGCATATACGTGTTTGTTAATATTAATGTAAAATAATGTAATGTTTATATTAATTAATTAAATTATATTTACAGAAACAAAAACTTTAATTATTAAATATAATTTATTCCTAGAATCTAGTTAATAATAAATTATTCCGTTCCTACAAAACATTTTAGTTAAAAGTATTCAGCACTCAAAAGATTAATAAATAAAATAATATCACACACACATATATACGAATATATACGAACGAAGAAATAAATGATATAAGAATACGTAAAAATAATTTGGAAAAAAAAATTTTCTCCCACGTGTACAAGATTGAAATGAAATAAAATAATTTATTGAGTTTCACGTTAGCGACAATTTTTTGTTTTCCATATTCTATTTGCAAAAGAAAATGTTTCGCTATATAAAAATACCGAAAAAAAGATTCTAATTATTAAAATATGATGGAAACTTTACTCCGACGCGTATATAAATTAATTTATTTAAACGAATGGACCGAAATAAAGTGCGAATACATTTTCGTAAATAAATTTCTAACTATCGATAAACTATCGAAATATATTTTGGATTGAAAGTGGACGTGGTCACGTATATAATAAATAAAATCTATTATCTCGAAGAAAGATAAAAAGAAATAAAGAAATAAAGAAAGAAAGGATAAAAAAGATGAACGAGACGAGAAGATATATATTTTCAGAGATTTGTTTAATTTATTCTTCGGATAAATACAAGACATTTTGGAAAATAGGAAATTTCAATCGTCTCACTTTGAAAGGAATAATAATGTTTTCCAATAATCGGTTATTTCTTTAACATTCCAATTAGATTTTACTTTAGACGAATGCCATAAATTTTGATCGACCATTCGACATATAAAAATGAAGCTAAGAAAAAAAATACAAGAAAATAAAACTAAAAATACAATTCTATTATCATCATCGAATAAAATAAAATATAAAAAAGAAAATAATACGTAGAAACGATTGTTAAACTGAACAAGGCAAATAATTACGATCATAATCGAAACGTTGAGAGAATCACAATTTTACCAAACCAGTTGTAATTTTGAGAAAAACCTTTTAAAAAATTCTACAAATTCTTGTCAATTAACTTTAATTTAATTTCTTACACTTAAATATTGAATATTTTTAAATCAATTATATTTTTATAAAATTTAAATATGATACGGAAAAAACAAAAATAATATTAATTAAAAATAAAACAAAGGAAAATAAATAATAATAAAAAAATTGTTCTAACGAACGAGACAAATAGAAAATAGATGATAATTATAGAATATAATATTTAGGTCACACGTCACTAATCGACGCGTCATCGATTAATAATAATCGTGGAACGGACGAGTAGACAATAACGTTTCCGTATACTTGCAGTTTATGCACATGCACACATATATAAATCCATATACATACATATACGCATATACAGACTTGCATTCACGACTATTATAATCGAATAGTATATGATAATAACGGTGTATCGTGCACTACTCTAGCTGTGTCTAGCCTAGTATAATATACACACATATACTCACATATACATATATATATTCCCAGAGACTCATATACATGCATAAATACCAGCTCAACCTGACTCAATGTCGTTGTAACGATGTATATTTATACAACAGCTGACACTGTTGCGAGGAAGAAGGGGAATATGCCAGTCAGCTGATTGAAACGCTGGAGGGGAAGACATGGAGGGGAGAATGACCTTTATTTAAAACGCTGGAGGAAACCTTTCTTTAACTACTAAACATTTCCCCGAATGCAAATGACAGTTTATAAAAGAAATATAGTAAAAATAATACACGTGTATCATTATATTTTTAATTTTATATGTACACACACGTGAAAATATCTCGTCGAAATATCAATTGACCTTGACTTCAAAAAAAGTATTATAATTATTTTCAAATTTAAATAATTAACAGTAATAAATACACGTATTACGTATGCTTTTGTGTAGTTTATATGGAAATTATAAATAACGTTTTAACGCGGAAAAAATTATTATTATCTTGGAATCCAAATAATTAATGTTTCTTACTAATAATAATTAATATATGTATATATATTTATGTGTATTTAATGTGTCCGATCGAAATATCAATGATTAGTCTTGATTTTGAGAAAATAATCATTATTTTCAAATAAAAATAATTGAATTTTATTATTTACAATAATGAATATGTATATATGTATATGTATTCACGTTAGAATAATTATATCAATCGAATCGTGTCTACTGAATTTATTAGATAATTTTCACGTTTCTCATGTATATGTGCATATGTTTGTGTATGTGTAGGTGAGTTTTCGTAATACTTTCCAATCGTTTTTATCATTACCTTACGTAAATTGGAAGACTATTAATCAAACGAATTCGGCGGTAGAATTGGAAATATTTGCACTCATGCTATTTAATGCCGTTATCTCTACGTCATTTGCATAAATGTAAGAGTATATAAAGAAGAATATGTATAAGTTAGAATAGATGACGACGGTTCGTTGGTAACGGGTACATTGACCATGCGTGTAACGTTGATAAATTATTCATTTAATACGAAACGAGATATCGTGTCGATTTGTTGTTGTTGAAGCTCGAAACGATATCTTGTGAATGTTAGTTGATCGCCTTGACTTT